GCCGACAAGTTCAAAGTTGGTCTCATATACAACTGGAAATGTCACAATTATGGTGTACTTACCGGTGAATTTGAAGTTTTATGGACTTTCAAACACTCTATGAATCATTTACTTACAATTACTGTTCATTCCGCATCTCTTATATTTCACGTCAGCACCTGTACAAAAATGCTACTTACCTTCCACAATTAACGTAATCGTTTATAATTCCCGCGTGAAATTGACATACCGTATTTTTTTCAATTACAGTTTTGATTTGATGCTATTTCTCATGAATTATTCAGTTGAAAGCATATCTCGAAAATTACCTATTGCCTTATTTGTACATTTCTTTTTAAATATTTCTCGCAAATTTACCAGTATTCAATCTATTTCTAGATTAACAAATCATATATATTCTATAAGTTCTAATTAGTGTACATTTGTTCATGCCTGTAAAAATGGCTGGTTTCTGTTCCAGAAATAAAAATTATTATTATTATGTTCAAATGAAATGGGAAGCGAGAGTAGCTGTCTGTTTAGTGGTCCATGGTGTGTCGTACCTCCTCACATAAGCGGAGTAAGCCATGGACGTTGTATACCACGTTATCATCCCCAAAGATAGACCTAAAGTTCCCTACAAATTTAGTCAAGACATTTTTGTTTGTATCATATAGGTGGTACAAAGAATGAGTGGGTTGTGACGGGGCTATTTCAATTCACTGAGGTAAGATGTCTTTGGCAATGGATAGGGGCACACACGGGTTGTCGTTATGTGTTATCGCGATGTTGTGTTTGGGTTGTTCTACGTTGTTTTCAACTGAAATGCGTTAGAAATACCATATTTTAACGAAAAAACTTAGAAAAATGGTGGAAAGTGAACGTTTTTCAGGAGTTTGAGTGAACACGTATTTTTCATCAAATTTCGTTGTTTCTTTGCATGTGGAATGTTAAAATTCCTTGTAAATTGTTGATTACGTTAAGAAAGATGAAATAAATTAGGTAAATGAAGTATATTTTGCGAAATTCCTAGGTGGTGCTTTGAATCACTGAGTTCTTAAAACTTGATAACAGTCAGAAGAGTTTACAGCTATAAAGGAGTGTTAGTTGATTTATTCGGAACATAACACAGAAGAAACAAAGTTTTTACTGAGATGTCCATTGCTTTTTAGCAATTTTGTATTGGTAATTATTCGCTAGCAGAAGTATCACTGTCGTTGGTTTTCAGGTTACAATTGTAATTTACGCAATGGTCCACTTGATTTGCAAGCTTTGATGAAGTGTGATCGAAGAATTTTCGTGTTAACGTTTGAATCGTTGTGATATTATGAAATCATTCATTAAAATAAATATTTCTTAAAAGTTTTCACTGTATTCTTGTATTATTACTTCGTTTTGCTTGTCGAAGAAATAGTGATATAGCTATTTTTGGAATGCGTAATGATTTACTTCGAAAGAATGATAATATGCGCAGTATAAGAATACTAGGATAATTATCCTAAATAGGATATATCTATAATACGTTATTTTCGATGACCGTAGTCGTCCTGCAAACAATACAAACACATGTTTGACGATCTTTTCTTCTCAACACTAATGCATACGTATACCATGCGCAACCGGATTAAATGTAACTGAAACATTTCATGCGAGGCTTGATGACGCACTGAGGGAATAATGACGGCTTACGACTATGATGCAATTCACATAAGTATTATTACGTTGCCTATCAATTTCGTTAACTATGCGATGTCCTCGAAATGATAAATGAGAGAGGTACAAGTAGTCGACATAAATGCATATATTTACAAAAGAACAACGGTCAAGCAGTACATTTTCAAATTAAAAAGGGTTTATAACATTTCAGTGAAGAAATTACAGTTGTAGATTTTTTATGGCTACATCAGAGTCAAATTAAAGTCAACTCATCGTTTTATTCACAATATGTGGATCAGTTTCCCTCACATGATAGTGACACGACCCATCTTTACAGCTTCCAGCACCACCCGATCCTTCAGAAGAAACTGGTTGTGATTTTTCCGTGCAATGATCGAGACTGTATTCCTTCGACCGCCTCCGGCCGCACTGAGAAATATCTAGGGATGTATACATATCAAGTGGATTAATCTTACCTTAGGTGAACAGTTCCTTATCTTAGCCACAATGAATATGTCAACAAGGGAGGGAACAATAGTATAATTGGTAAGATTGGTACATATATTCTATGACACATTTGAAGAATTATAGAACTTCCGATTTATCTTTCACAGTTTGCCTTTTGCAGAATGTATATATTACACAACTGCCTCTCCTATCCGTCCGTTACAACCAGCTGAAAAAAGACTAAATCTTCAAATTTTATACCTCTTTGATTATGTTACGGAATAATATTCTTTGTGTTAATGGATCCAATGCATGACACATCTGTAAAATTTTACGTATGTTAACTTGTCCCATTAAGCTGAAAAATGTAATGTTTATGCGATTTCTATTATTATCATTTCAAAGCCCGCCTCAGTAACGTATGCTAAGTATTAGCCGCAGCGTTTACGCAAAGGTGAATCCACCAATCACAATATACACAAGTGACCTTGAAGTGCTCAGCCTCTCCATAAGGTCGTGTGTGCCTCTATCCATTGCCATTTATATTCACACTTGGTAAGTGTATTTCACGTTCATAATTAGCCAGAAATAACCATGGTCGTGATGGAACTTCTATCTTTCACGTTTTATGCCAGGGCCAAGTTAAACTTTAGACACCAATAACTACCAATCAGCGAACGACGTCGAATGCAAGTTACACCCTGTGCAATGAAAGCCTGTCCTGCTCAACGTCGGAACGTGACTTAGGTCTAGTTCTAACGGAGAAAATGGACACAAGCGTAAATTACACGGGGGATGTAGCGAGGGCATATGCGGTCATACACTTTACACACAGACACTTAGGTGTACTCACTCCTGAGCTCTTTCTAAGGTTGTATAAAACATACGTCAGACCGCATCTTGAAGTGCATAATATCATTGCACCCCCACTGCTTAAAAGAGACGCCAACCTCCTGGAAAGAGTCCAGCGACGGGCAACAAAAGCAGTGGTTGGTCTCCGAAATAAACCATATGATGAAAGGCTGAAGAAATTAAGCCTATTCACACTCAGTTACCGTCGCCTTAGGGGGGATTTAATTACTGCCTACAAAATAACAAATGATCAGAATCACCCAAACAAAGGTGTTCTGCCATTGAGTAGGTATAGGCTCCCTCGTGGAAATCCTAGAAGGATAGCTCATCAGAGGGCAACGACCCGGGTGCGCTCCCACTTCTTTTCCCTGCGGGTTTGCTGTCCCTGGAATTCCTTACCGGCAGATGTAGCTATGGCACCATCTGTGGACGCCTTTAAGCGAAGGCTGGACAACCATGCAGTGACACAAGGACTGCATCCAAATGGCCTATCCCCTTAAAATCGCATACACCATTCAAAGGTAGACAATTAAACTGGTCGTTTTACTTCTTCACATTCCCTTCAGTCTTACTCTCCTGACAGCTTTAACTACACCTATTATTATTATTATCATTATTACTGGTATATATATATATATATACCGGTTGACTGACTGTTGTTACGTTTTCTTATTCTTTTTCTGTCTGTTAGTCTGAATACCTTCACTAATTATATCTATTATTATTATCTCTTTTCTATTGACGACGATACCGAAGGACCAACTGGTGAAAGGATCAACTCCATTCACAGTAGTAACAGTCTTAACACACCTCATACCACAAACCACTTATAATTAATCCCTGCACTACTCCTTTTGGAGTCAACCAAAGCAACGAGAGTCGAGTGGCGGGACGAGCTACGCAGACGTTTACCGAAGATCAGGAACCTCTACCTCACAATCAAGAGGCGAGCACAAAGAAATCAGATTGGTTTATACTAGCTCGTAAAAACGATATTGGATATTGGAATTATCCAATGGGATTCACGAACTTGGTTCAATGTTGTATTGCGCTTGACTCATTTCAATGCGTGCCCTTACAATGTTACGTTTGCAATTCGAGGAGGATAGTGTCTTTCAGTATTTCCTGGACTTAGGCTTGTTTGGAAAGGAGAGAAATTGTTCGTGTGGTGGTGTAATGACTATAAAAAGCTATACTAGGTCAACTGATGGTTTTGTACATCGTTGTGGAATTTGCTGGAAGCGAATTAGTATTATAGAGGGTAATATTTCTTAGGAACTGTTTTTGCTAGGTCGCATCTCTCTCTAACCCAGATTTGGTACATTTGCAATTACTGGGTACTGAAACAGCCCGTGAGAGCCTCTGCTGCCGAGACGGAGAACAGCCTCGTCTCAGCAGTTCAGTGGTACCAGCACTGCAGAGACTCACCTCATGGAGAATGGACAGAATTACTTCGTTGTTAGGCGGGGACGACGTAGTAGTCCATGTGGATGAGACAATGTTGGTGAAGAAGAAATACAACCGCGGTCGTCAGAGAGCGAACAATATTTGGGTCATAGGTTCATACGACACGTCCCTCCGAAAAGTATTTGTTGAAAGAATAGCAGACAGGATGGCGACTACTCTGGTACCTATTATAAAGCGACTTGTGAAACCGGGATCAATTGTACGTACCGACGATTGGAAAGGCTATGATTCGTTGTCATCCCTGGGATACATGCATCACAGAGTGAACTACTCCAGTGATTTCGGGGATCCAGTTACAATGCCTCATAAAAATTTCACTGAAGGATTTTGAGGTCGACTGAAAAATAGAATAAGGGCTATAAATGGATCTCATTTATAGTCATTTAGATGAATATATGTAGAGAATGTGGTGCGACTTCTCTACTGACAGTCCCATGCTGAATTGGGAAATGTTTTCCTCCCATGTTCGGGAGAGATACCCATTGTAGCAGTTTTATCATTTTCTTATGCATTTTTCTATAAATATACGTTTCCGCTTATAATAAACGCCTCTTTCATGTGATTGGTCCGTTCAAGGTCGTTTGCTGATTGGTTTTTAATGGTGTCGAAAGTTTAACTTTGCCAGGGTTAAGAACGCATGACTAACCATGAAGGAATATCAGTTGCTCAACTTGGAGACAAACGAACTCACTTTATTAATCACTGTAGTCCAAGGCGTTTTCCGTATAATTCATATATGGGTACTTTGGTCATTTTTCATAGCCTAATACATTGGTGTCAGATAAGACAATAACGCGCGAGATTCAAGGGGGAATCTGCGTTTTGTAAGAATATGATTTGGGCACTGTGGTTGTGTATGGTTCTGTAGTAGGTACCATTTTAGAAAAATAGGTAGGAACCGGAAAGTGTACTACAGCTTAAAGCATGGGAAAAAACGGGTCGGTTAGGCCTTGAAGCCCCACCGACGAGTTGTTCAGGAAGCGTCATGCCGTGCCACTACTCTCTTCCATTTGCTGAAATAGGATTAGATCAGCAAAGGGGTAGAAGAGGCCAGACCGAAGCAAGGTGCCAGTCAATAAAGTCATAGATTGTAGGTATGAGCCACATAAAAGAAATAGTGATCGTCTGTTTGGGGTCGCGAACTTGTCCAGAATCACTGATTGAAGATTCTTGGGGATCTGGCTCCACATGGTTCACGATAGTGTATATGTAATTGCTATTGTCATCACCCAGATTCTGATTTGGGCTGTGATTCATCGGTCTAAGCTCTTGACTTCCAGCCAGAGGGTAACGGGTTTGAATCCCTCTCTGTCTACCTCGCATTGGGCAACCAGGTGGTATCAGTAACCCTCATAGTGTGACTCATTACCAACTGCAAGGAATCGCAATTAATTACTGGGTAACATTTCGTTTTCTTTCCCCAGATTCCGAAAATCTTTCCTTTCACATACACCTTTGTTCACTCTGATCTCGTTGCGTTTCTTTTCCTTAACTCTGTGTGTTTTCCCGATGCTTGTCAACTTGAAATGATGCGATTTTATGTGAATGTCAACATCTATTAGTCAGCTGGTCAATTCCTACACAGATAGTCTCTGGTCCTTAAAGTCACTAGGACTATAATCAGACGTTGATTGACTTATCCCAAAATCTAATGCTGTAAGATACATTTTTCATATAAATCAACGCATTGTCTGAAAGTGAAAATAAAAAGGGTTTAGCACATCACACCTCTCACAATGTAAGTTAACTAATTCCCGAAGTATTTCTGCATGAATATGGAAGACTTAATCGCCTTTGTGAAATTTTTTATCTCACACTGCATCCGTGAGAAATGTTAGTGTGTTCTTAAGGTGTAATGCAAAGCTCAACATCTGCAGCATTTTAGTATAAGGTAAAATGTTATTATGAGGAAAGTAATTCGGAACATCTGGTATATTTTTAGAGATATGAAGGGACATGGCTGATAAGCGATTAAAATGATGTGGAGGCAATTCACCACCTATCATTTTGCACTTATCCCCGGCCGACACACACCCGATATTAATGGTCGGCCTGCAAAATTTGCGCTACTGATATCCCATGCTGAAAATCCCATACTTGTATCAAAAATACTGTATGGAGTCAAGCTATAATAAAGTTTTAAAAAAATTAAAAATTGTCTCATACTGTATTCCTTCATCTTATGACATGATTCTCAATTCTTCATGTCTTTTTTCAAAGACCTGAATTATGTTAGGATATTTGACGCTCCTAAAACCTCAGAATGCTTGAAGACAATTATATAATCAAATTAGCATGCATTGTACCCATGTATTTGACTCCTTTTTCATTATTAAATACCTAATGTGATGACGTGAGACAGCAACATAAACCATTGAAGAATAACGTTGTGCTCTTTTGCAATAATGTATGTTAGCTATCCGGTGTTTTCTCTCAACGTGTACCAATCAGTGTCACCAACAGTAAGTCCTAGTTGTCACGAAAGCTTCAGACGGAAAATCCACATTCCTCTAGACACTTAATGACTTCATTGGTTAATGGCACATATCAGTCTAGTGTCCCGTTGCTTTCTTCTAGTATATTCCTATTTTTGTTAAGATAGGACTTCAAATATACTCATAAATATAGTATAACGCAGTGGCCAAATGATGTACTGTTCATCAACAATGAATACTTGACCTTCCGATTTTGGGTTGTGCATCCAGGCAAATATACATTACAATAATATAATGAGATTCGTTGTGAAGTATATAACTATGCATCAGGCTTATGAGTTCCTTTTTATTGCATTTCTCCCTGAGAAGATTAGTTATCAACATAGAAACACTAAAAAGTTGGTGAAACTCAACTATTCCACTAAATTTTTAACCAGTGTTCACAGCCCACCTAATCGATTAACCGTCCAACGGCTTTTAAAGAAGAACCGTGTTAAGTGACAAACCGTTACTTGGCGCATTCAACTCAGGGGGTTCTGTTTCAGGTAGTAGACTCAAAACTCTTTTAAGGTCATATGATCAGTTTGCGCGTAAATTCCAGTATTTTTTCTTTCCGGATTCCTGACACTTACGTAATCTGTGCAGTTGTTTGTCTTTTACCTCTGGTGATAGTTAACTTTTCACTCTGAAGGCCATTTTTGTCTAGATCTCAAGGCACTTCCAACTAAGTTCTTCTGGTTATTTTTTCCAAAGAAACCATTTTGTTCCAAACTGATTTTTCGGAACATGCTAGGCAAATCTAAATCAATGAAGTTCTGGGAAACTGTCTAAAGTTCTGTTGTGTGTCAAAGAGTTCATCGTACTGATCTATACAGTATATATTAGCAAATAAAATTGGCAATAACAGGGCATTAGTCTGTGCTATTTTAGTGAGTAAATGTTGCATTCTTAAAAATGCTTAACTGAAAAACTTGAGTTTTAGTGTAGAATGAGGTTCTAGGCTGGAATTAGCTAAAAAAACAATCTCCGGATCTAATCGCCAGGTACTTATTGAATACAGTATGAGTTTGATGTAACAGAAAAGTCTCGATGTTCCCAAAGTTTTAGAGGTAAATTCCGCTAACTACTTTCGATCTGGTGTACCAAATAGCAAGTGAAACTGAAAACAACTTTCAAGTGAGCATGTTTTTCTGAAAGAAAATTTGATGTTTAAACTGCTCACTTTGAAAACACTTAGTAGATTACCTTTCTTATCTGACAGTATGCACCTCATTAAGTCCTTACAAATGTGAAAATTCTTAAAAGACTCAATTCAAAATATTTTGAACGGTTATCATTGCGATTTGCATATTAAAAGTCATGTCAGAGGAAAATGTTAGTTACTGACTTTGGTGAATGGGAGTTCACCCAGTTTTATTTAAGAGATACATTTTTAGCATGTGTCTCATGCATATCGACATTTAGCTTTCAAGCAACTGCTACTGACATTATGTAGAAAAGTTGCATCATCAGCCCTAACTTAGTGGTATAACTCATTACCAAATTCACAAACATGCTTAGAGTTGACAAGTTACATTTTAAAAGTACGGTAGTCGTGTTATTTGTGCAATAATAAAATGCTTAATGTGTAAATCCAATAATTTCGGAATGTGTAATTATTCTCACAGGTTACAATGGAAAAAGTCAAAGCTCTGTTAACTAAAGCTTTAGGAGAAAAAGCTACAGATGACTTTATAAAGTAGGTCTGAATAATTTTACATTTTTTATAAAACTTTGCTGCTTTTTGATTCAGAGCTTGTATGGAAGTTGATGACACCCAAATTATCAAAAAGCGTGTAGCTACCCTATTAGATACTCGAAAACCGGAGAATCGCCAAGTCTATGAAATTTTAATACGAGAAAAAATACGAAGAAGCGGATTCACCGGTGAAGTTAGTATAAATCTCCATTTTTCACGTTTTGCGCGAATATACAGAATCATGATTTTACATCCATTAAAGTTACTTGGAATGCTTTTCTGAATTACTTGTCCTAATTATCTGTCGATACTAATTACTCTTTCAGGCTAATCGTAATCACTGACGAAAGATATCCAATAGTTACTTTCTATTCTCCCAACTGTCAGCTTATCATCTACAAAAACCGATATTAAAAAAGTTACGGTTAAGTATTGTATTTGAGCATAATGTCTTAAGACATAAAATGGAGTTCTCATAGTTTTGATATTTGATCTGTAGGCATAGAGATGAGTGAGGTGTTTAAACTTATATATTGCAAAATTCGTTTAAATTGGTACGTTAAAGTATTTCACCTCTAAAGAACATGTCATATCACAGCTCAATGATAAATGCTACTTTACAACATCGGCAGAACTCCATTGACAGGTCAGAAATGATACCAGTGGTTAACGGTAAACTCAATTATATTCATCACGATGGCCGTGAACGTCATGGGAAGAAAGAAGTTTTATAGTATTAGCTCATAATCCTCAAGACTGTAGATCTAAAATGTAGTAAAGGGAAGAGAGCGAAGATGGCATCATATCCTATCAATAGCATACCATCCTCGTTTTAGAGACTGTATTACAAGTCCCAATATCTATTTGATCAGCTTGTACATTTTTGTCTTCACTCCTCCTCTAATTTTTCACTTGCATATATCTTTGGTAAAAAGTGATACAATCACAAGTATTTGTTAAGTGTATCGACCACCCTGTTTTTAGGTGACACTTAAATACTAACTGTTGCATCAATATGGCAGACTTTGTTACAGTGATTTAAGCTTGCATCGGTGGCTTAGCGGTAGAATAGATAGATCGCCAACCACTCATGTAGTCCGGTGTTAGATCCCCAGCTGATGCACTCCTTTACCTCACTAAGCCGGTAATACGACCGGCAAAGGGGAAAGGTTGGGCATGAGTCTAGCAACCCCACCACGTAAAAATAAACACCACTGCTACAGTAACTTCGAAGCTCAAGCTTCAAGCCCTATGTTCCACTGGGAACGAAAAGGAGTAAAAAGGCTTACACTCCCTTGGATAGTTTCAACGTATATAAATCACAGTAAAACTTCGTATACATTACTATTCTGTCAGCTGGTAAGGATTTTTTCGGTATATATTCTTTGGTATGTTTTGTGTAAGGAAACAGCTTGATTCATGCATGATTCAACCTTAAGTACATTATAATAACACCTAATTGGCCTAGACCGTTACTTTTCATCCATATTTACCTATTGTCATTTAGTCCCTTTTATCTCATTTCATTGTGTCCTTTTACTCAGTTCACTTGTTTGTCTTTTGAAGTACACCTTGATATAGTACTGCCATGTCAGTTGTTCATTGTTTTTATGTGAATACCAGGTGGTCACCAAGACTGTCGTATAGCATCTTAGCTCTTAGAGTGTCTCATTTATGTAGGCACTTAATTTTGAGCCAATAAGTCATAAATTTAAGTCTCATTCGATCCCAATATTTAGCAGCTTGCTATTCACTTATCAGGCCTTTTTAAAAAGCTTATTACATCTGTTTGTAGTTAATGAACTGTGTAGAATAGCGTGATCTTGTAATGCTTAAAAATAATCAAATGCTTAACATGGTATGAGTGGGTCTGCTTTGTATTCACTAAACGTAGTCGATGGGTTAGAATATAATTAAAGGAACTGCTCAAGTATTTATCTCGTAATCCATGGAGAAATAGTAACTGCCAACAACTTTTCGCACTTCGCTTTTTTTCCTACCTTCCTAGCATTGGTTCCTGTCGGTATAACTGCCAATAAATTCCAATATTAGGTGTTCAGACAAAAAAAGCTTTCTTCAACCAAGAATCTAAAAGCCTACGTCGTGGATTTAATGCATCAGTTGGGGTAACACTATCAGAAGATGGAGTTTATCTAAAGAAATATAATGTATTTGCGCAATACACTTTGAACAACGTGATCATACGTTTACATGTCAATTCAGTTAATGTGAAAATGTAAAAACCAGTTAAAATAAATTGGTGACTTAAGAATCAGAAGGATAATAATTAACAAGTAAATGTGCGATCAGATAGTTAGAAGTGTATTGTGCAAATACATATTTTCTAGATGAAACTCGTCTTATAACAGTGCCAACGAAATGTATTACATTAACTAATTGTTTTAAATTTTGGGAATGAAAACTCCCTTAGTGCATCAAATTAGTCCTTATATACTATAGTATTAAAATATCCACACATCGAAGTAATTCGTATTTAAGAGGAACCTTCGTCCTTCTTATATGACGCAACAATATTTCATAATAATATAGTCAAGAATCCTAAGGTTAGGGCTAAGCATTAAGTAGTAGATGAGAAAGGGAAGTCAATCTATCGATTCGTGAAGCTACGTCAATTGAGATGGTTAAGGCATGTATTACTCGTATTGAGACACCACCTTTGTTTTCAAACAATGTTAATTGACATGGGATTAGGTTAGAAAAAAGCTAGGGGTGGTTGGACAAAAGCATGATATCAGTCCATGAAGTCTTTGAGTGTTGGTGTGTGTAAACAACGTGGCTGGGGTCCTCGAGATGCTAAGAAAGAAATGGCTTGAGATTGTTGGTGGTGTCGTTTAAAATCGTTTTCAATAGCGCAAATGTGTTCACTCTTTGTGATTCCCCACATCCATTAAATCCCCATTAATCTTTCTTCTATACATTTCCGTTTATTATAGTTTCTCTGCATTTCTTATTTTCCTGACTCTGTGTATGTTTTTGTGCGTTGGTGACTGGTGACTCGCCAACTACGTACGGTGTCTTGGATTCGGTCCCCGGCCGATGCTATCCTAAACCTCGTTTATCCGGTAGTATGTCTGGTGAAGAGCGGAGGTCGGACGGGAGGCCAGCACCCTCACACCGTAAAAGAAATTACCATTGCTACTGAAACTCCGAAGCTCAAGTTTGAAGCCCTACGTTTCGCTTGGGAAGCAAAGGAGTAAAATATATAAAAAAGTATGCTTTTATGAAATGTGGCAACCTAAACTGCTACATCTGGGTACAAAATCCAACGTTAAAAACCTAGTTCAATTCATTTATAGTAATATAAGATCATTTTCGTCTGAATTACTCTCTCTAACCTCCAGTAATGACTTACAGTTTCAACATATGCATAGTATCTTTCAATGTGTTATTTTTTCTGTCTTACAGGGATATCGTAAAACTAATTCAAATCCTAACGCTCCAAGTGACTGTTTGGATGATATTTCGATTTCAAAAAAGGTATGTCCGTATTTGAAAATATACTCACAGTTTCAGAAAGCTTAACAATAATACATCCAGACAAGTCTCCATTTCGATTTTACTCAATAATTTTTCTAACTTTTGATTATCCAATGAACTGATGTGAATTGGAAACAGCGCATTGGTGTAAGCACTTAGCTTTAAGCCAGATCATTGTGAGTCGTAAGTCTTCTACAACTAGTCAGATTTGGAAATCAGGTAATATCACTACACATCAAGTGTAAACCACTAGATGCATACACCATACAAATCTATACATTGATGTCAGGTTGAATTACACTACACTTAACTTTTTTGTCCTGTTACGATTGAGGTAAACATTACAATGTTACTTGAAGAAAAAAACTATTTGTATCATTGCTATAAATAAGCTCGTCGCTTCGTTACTAAACATATTTCACCCCTATGTATACTTTAGTAGCCATACTCAGTCCTTTCTAGGAAGCTAATCTACAAGACAGACTTCCAGAGGTAATCCAAATACACAAATCTAAGTGCCAGACTGTCTGTAAATACATTCAGAACTTATAATCATGCACAATACACTTATCACGTACTACTGAGGTATCTATAGGTAGAAGGAAGATCTATTGAGTGATTTCTGGATCTAGAGATTCTGTTATTTTTATGATTAGTTCATTTTGAAAAATTACCAACCAAATTCAGCACCTTTTCTTGGGCTAAATATATCTGGTGAGCATTACCATAATTTGAAGGAAAGACCTCCTTCTCTCTTTATTGTTGAAGAAGAAGAGTGCAGGAAATCACTGGCTATTCAGTCTCATCTTAATGAATACTGCTCCTACTGTAGATACTAAATGCACGTTTCCGGTAACTTGCTGTTTAAACAAGTTAGTTACCACAGGTAGTGAGATTTTGTTATCCACATGCTGTTGAAGGCGTTAAGTTAAAGAACTTATTCTTTTGTTGATTTTCTGCACCATTCTGTTTTTATCCATCTCAATATTTAGATTATTCATCTGAAATTATGCTTCCAAAGTTGTATTCATCCATGAGTTGATATCTTTTAAATACCGTTGCAAACGTTTTTTCCTTTCTTTCATTGTTATGTAGAATGATACAGAACAACCATCATCTGTACGATCACAGAATGTGTCGAAGAAAAAACAGAAAACTAAATTTTATCCATTATTTTGTGAAGGAGCTCATAGTGACCAACTTGTTTCCTTGTTGCCTGGTAGACATCCTTGCCAGTGTTTAGCGACTAAGCATCAGTTAGTAAATAACTGTGTCAATTGTGGTCGTATTGTCTGTGCACAAGAGGGTTCAGGTCCATGCTATTATTGTGGAAATCTTGTATGTACACGAGAAGAACAAGATCAGATAGCAATGAATACTAAACAAAGTGAAAAGTTGAGAAATAAACTTATGCAAGTAGGATGGGCTGCTGGTACTGAAACTCCATATTATCGAATTGTCCGCCAAGCTCAGAAACTGCAGAAAAAGGAAGTAAATACTGAATATGCATCGACAGAAGTTACTTCAAATACTGAACATGAAGACTCTACTGATGAGGAAGATACAATTACTAAGCCAGTCTCTGGAGCTCAAATGCGTTTAGAGCAAGGCAAGTTATTTGGTTACGTAAAATATATTCAGTCAAACTAGGATAAACTCCCCTATCCACCTCCCGAAAAAAGTAACGAGCCATTTCTCGAATAATTTTCGTTCAGTTATTCAAGTTTCTTTTTAGACTCCCACTTTTCAGAGTAATCATTTTGATTCTGAACAAATAAACCGACGTGACAGAAATGTAGTTTCTTTAAATCATAATGTAAATTAAAAGGATTGCTGTCCACCTGTCTAAGTGTTCGACTTTTCATCAGCAGATTTCATATTCAGTTTCCACCTCACCTACTCTTGAGACCGAATATTACCATAATTATCAGTATCGTACAGTAGCTTGTTAGTTTATATTCTGTTTATTAAACATTGACTTGACATTGTCCCAAATCTATAAAACTAATGTAGAAGACCAGTGACAGTCATGGTAGAATTGTAGTCATATTACTCGATACAGTAAATGTACACCACTGTCTGTGTAACTATATTCTCTCTCGTAACAGAAGATAGGTGAATGAGCGAAAGCACCGTATCGTAAAACGCTCAAATATACTTTAAACGAATTAGTTAATTAAAAGTAATTCGGACTAATGGTCCTTTTACGTGGCGAAGGAGGCTTAATGGCAGATGCATTTGTTGGTTTGGTGTTGCTGATAGTTATTTATTCGTAATTTTAGTTTTCACAAATTTTAAACGACTTAAGTTATGTTTAAATGCGGTAGACTGAGAAATAATTACTGGCAACATGATTTTCTGGTTGACTGGTCTGTGTTAAGATGAAATTCCGTATTGCACACTTCACCAGTATTCTTATTCTGTATCTCTATTATTATAACCTTATTATGTTATTTGTAATTTTCAGGCTTGATAAATGCTTTATGCAATCGAGATAAACTGTTGGAGTTTGATTCTACTTGTGCTAAACGAACCAGAGTGATTGATGATGAGTTAGATTATTTTGCAACGGAGGGTGGTGCTGGATCAGCTGCGTGGTTAAGTCCTGAAGTTCGTGAGAGAATCGCTCAGCGTGTAGCTGAGTTAAGAGCACAAAGACACGCACATCGTCTACAAATTTCACGGATGTGTATTGATTTAAAAAACTGTAGTGTTACACAAGAGGTTAGTGTATTATTTTCGTTACTTATGTAAATTTGAGTGTATGCTTGAATAAAGCGTGGACAAACAAATGTACCAGAATAATACAAGCTCATCTTCTATTATTTCAAGGATTCTCCTCAACTGGCTACAACTTCAACAGTGAAAAAAAACAGTGTAAATTACATTACACATTTGAACATGCGTTTTTCACCATGATAAGGAGTAATTGACCGGAACTTAGAGTAACATAATTCCGGAATGATGTACGAATTAGAAAGATTAACTGCTTATGGGATAATTAGACCACTACCCATCTATTGGACGGTGGTCATATTATGGACAGTCTGAAGGCGTTCTATATAAATCATCAAGTAGAAGAAACCTACGTTGCTACTTTTTTCCCTGAATCAATCGCTGTCAATCAATTAAATCCAAATCTATGCACGCAGAAAAAGACAGTGTTGAATCCTGCACTGCCTTGTTGATTAAATTTACACAGCAAAATATAAAATTTTATTCCGTCATGTATTTCCTTGTTTCATCTGTCTTGTTTAGAAAGTGTTATTGTTTCATCTGAAGATTACTCACCCTACCCCTATTTTTTACCATTTTTAGAAGTATTTCCTGTAGTTACATAACCTATTATGTTGTCATACTCTTTCCAGTTGAACTTCGTTTCTACCTAAAACAAATTTGATCTCTGTTCTCAAGAGTACTGGTCTAATTATGTTACAAATACTCAATCCTTTTAACTCTTAATAATTTAACAACTTACATCATTCCAAACTTATGTTACTCTAAGTTCCTATGAATTACTTCTTGTCATCGTGGAAAAAGTATGTTCAAAAGTGTTATGTAATTTGTATTTTTCCTTTCATTGTTCAGGTTATAGGTAGTTGAAAAGAATCCTTGAAATAGTAGAATATGAACTCATATTATCCTGGTACATTTATCGTTCTCGCTTTGTTCAAGTTTATTAATGGGAAGAATTGTATGAATTTGTCAGTGTGTACATTTTAATATTACATTAAACCTTGTGCAAAACTCATAACGGACTAGTCGATATGGCAAAGTTTAACTTTAAGCACCAGTAATTACCAACGGACAAGTGACCTTGAACTCACCAACCACATGATACAGGCGATTTTTGCGTATAAAATACGTATATTCGTGAAAATAATCAGTTAAAATGAATGAAACTGTTACACAGGATACCCCTCTCTGACAAATGATAAAAAATATCTGTCAGTTTTGGATTGGAGCATCAACAGAGTAATTTGACCACATTCTATGCGTGTGATTATCTAGGTCTTCTAACCTTAATCTTTCCTTAACCTAACCCTAACGTGAAAATATCCCTAGACTAACTCGAACCAACCGCAATATCGCCCTCATTAGGTTAACTTAACCTTGACCTGTCCTTAGCCTAAATCTTAATTTAATCTTCCCCAAACCTAACTTGAGACTTATCAGATATCCCATTTAACATAATAACGCTACGTTAAGCATATTTTATCTATGATTACAGTGTTATTTACCAGGTTTCACTAACCTGCTCACTGGGCGTTTCAAGGTCATTGGTATGGTCGCACTCCACTGGTACTTACTGATGCTCAAAGTTTAACTCAGCCGCCAATATGGGTTATCAGCACAAAAATTCACCGGATTATAGAATGAGAGACTATTAAGACTTAGTAGTATTAGATCGTTAGAAGCAATCAGTTAAGGAAGCCTCGGACCTAGGTTTCGTGGTTGTTGGGAGTCGTCAGCAAGGAGTATCTGCAACTTTGAAAGAACTTTTTTCCCTTCTGAGATTCGAACCCCTGTCAAGATTAGTAGTCCTTAAGAAGTTAGTTATTTCTATGCATTTATTGAAAGATAACCAGATGGTGTGTAATAAGCAAGAACGAAGGTCTGAAAGGCGAATGTAGTTAAGTAGTGGAAGAAGTTGACAAACTATTCTTCTCTCTTTGTAGCTACTATTGATGTAGCCTATTATCTATTCTAGAAATACACCACTGTTGAAATCAAAGAACACTAAGTTATTTGGTTAATCGTTTTGAAACTGACTTCATATAATGTTGTAAGGTACATGAAACGATTGTCTGCAATGGCATGTACAATAGTAAGAAATCGTAAACTGCTTTAATGACTATCATCGATTGATAAACTTTACAATACAGATAGAAATAGATTCCGAAATTCACTCCCAGGTACTGTGCTGAGGAGAAGAGATAACGGAGCACCAACGAATTTCTTATAGAGTAAAATGATTCGAAGTAGATAATTGTTGGGTTTTTTCAGTTGGTTCCATTTCAGTTTACTTTTATCAACTCACCTCATTCCTTCTAAGTTGGGCATGTAGGTCGTTTACGGAGGCTTACGTTTCAAAATGTTCGAGGATATTTTGGTAGTATAACTTGACAGAAGACGATAAGAATTCATCCTTTCGTCTATTTTCTAGTGTATGGTTGATACATCTTCAACCATTACGTTCGATATTATCTGTAAGGTTCAATTATATATTTCTAAAGACTTGGTCTTAATACAATTGGCTATATAAGGCCAGCTGGAGGTTTTCAGCGACAATCAATCGGATGTCAAATCACATTTATATTTGTCATATATAGTTTATTTCGTTTTTCTTGCACATACAGTGTGAATATAGAAGTACAGTGTACTGGTTGGGAGGGCTATTAATGTGTGTGTTCAGTGTATTAAAGAAATTAGTCGATAGGGTCTGTTGTAGGGAACAGGATCAAGAAATAACTTGTATAATCAGATAATGTTGTATATAGTTCCCTTTAAGGTTTTGGCATACGAGAAAAAAATACTCTTCAGTCGATTTGATTGATCTCAAGTAGTCAAATATAATGACCTCTGATGATCAAGGTTTGTATATCACCATCTTGATGTATTATGTGAATTCCCTTACAATTTCAGTCAGTCTGAAAGTCACCCTGATTATTATAAAGTCAAAGGTTGCTAAGGTACACATGAGTTAGTTGTTGCTTCCTTTTAATATCATTGTCACTACTTTTATTGTAAGTTAATAAACACGTATACACTTGTCTACTAGATCACTTTTGTCAAACCTGCTGTGAAAATACTGTTATCCTACGGGAGTGCTTGAAGAATGATGCTGTGGCTTACTAAGTGCACACATAGTTGTCCATTGGACTTTGTGTTTAATTGTCGTCTTTTGAAGTAGCAAAGTTAGTAGCCTATCATATTCACGAAATCATCATTGTAAGGAGTCTAGATAAGATAGTTTAAATAATTACTAGTGTTATTAGGATGAAGTCATCTTACTCGCCTTTAGTAAACTGTATCTTTTACTCTTTTCGACAGGATACAAGAGATGAAGCTGCAAAGAACTTGTACAATCCAAATGAAGAAACAATAGATGAACTTTGCAAATCTTCAAAGGTATCGAATAACAAAAAATCTACAGGGGATACTCCAGAAACAGCGAAGACTGACGTTGACAGAATAACCTTACCTACTGTAAGTTGACATGTTTATTAAGCGTATAAAATAGTTAGAAATTTAATTCTACACCAATAGATAAAGTGTAATATGATCATTAAAATAAGTTATACCGTAGTGCTGGGTAGAAAAAGTTAACCAACATAAAACTCCACATGACCTGTGTTTTGTAGGTACTGGAATAGATTAAAAAGACGTGTCTGAAACCTTTAGACAACTAATACCTTCCTCTCTAAGAATTTGAATTTGTGTGATTCACTTCGGAATTCAAATATTGGGTATTATCTCCGTTGTTGTGGAAATAGCTTTTTCAGTAAAATACGAAAATAATAGGAGCATACTTTACTTATTAACTTCCTGAGGTCTGATGGTGTTTTCTTGACTTTTTGTTGTCCTCCAGAATTAAGCTTTTGACTGTTCTGGGTTCTCCTTTCGACAACCACGCTATTAGGTATTTATAAGCGCGTCTGGACGATGTCCTGCTGGTACGGCTCATTCTCGATTCCTTGTTCTCTTGTTTCCTATCAGTTATTTCCAAAAGGACTATTCACCACTTAACTAATTAGTTGTCAACTCTTTCAATTACATAATGTATAAACAAATCTCTTTACAAATAACATGAATAATTCATGCAACTGTCCACTGAATTGTATTCTCTTTACGCATATTGTTTTCATCCTTTCTAGTTTATCCCTCAACAAATTAACAAAGAGAATAATAAAGCAAATAATAATCAAAATCCTGTCGTAATGGCATTAAATCAACCAACTTCTCTTTTACGCATACAAGATGATGAATCAAGACAACTAGTTGATGAAGGCTATTGCTTGAGCCTTCATCAACCCTGGGCTTCATTATTAGTACGTGGGATTAAGTTGTAAGCTTGTCTTTTATCTGAATAATCAAATATTTTGCAAAATTTACTTGAAAGTATTAACCTTTTTATACTGTGTTTTTTTAAATGTTTCTTCAGAAAATTAATGAGTATTAATAATCGAAATGCATACATTTATCAGTGGATAGAAAATAAGATTATCAGAAGCCATGAACTTTACTTGTTATTACAAGATCGATATGGATTCACATCAGCTCATTTTCAGAACACAGTCGGAAAATCTGCCTTCCTCGTCGAGCAACTGAAGCTGACATATTTTTTTTTAATTTTTGATTAGAGCTTGAAACCACACAGCACTTTTGGTACAAGTATGGAATTTTCAGCATATGGTATCGGTAGCCCAAATTTTACAGGCCAACCATAGATATCAGGTGTGCGTCGGCAGGGGATCGAACCCCGGACCATGTGCATGGTCGGCTAGAATGCTACCGACGCACATATGATTACGTCGGGAAGCAGTTGGGAGTGGTCAGATCGAAATGTGGCATCGGTCTATGAGATCCTTGATTGTTTGTTTGAGCTATGTGGGGTGGTGTCAGACCTCCTCGTTGGGTTCTTTAAGTCACTGAAAACCAATGGCTTGATAAGACTCTTGATGATGTGGCTCAAAATCTCGCAGATCCATTAAATCCTCGTTATTTCTTCATATGCTTATCCTTTCTCCTGTGTAGTCCCTTTGAACTTTTTTTGTCTTTTTCTCTAACCTTTGTGTGCCATGTAGAAGTGTGGCAACTTGAACTACTGTACTTTTATGCAATGTTTTACATAGAAATTCAGTCAGTCAGTTAATGAGAGGTATCTGTTAAACATAGTTGTTAGTTACTGTAATACAGCTAGTTCTGTAATCTTATGAAATCTTCAATATAAAACATGCACGCATATGAAACATGTGATTTAGTACTTTAAATATTTCCGAATTGATTTTCATGTACGTACCTTATAGGGAACATTTGACTTCATTTCTTAATAGTGTGCTATTTTGAGTGGCTGTGTGACGAAATCAGAGGTGTACATGTCGCCTCCGTAATCAATATGGTACTACCCAGGGTGGATAGACTTTAGTCTTTCCTTCGAGATTCTCTCATGTGACTACGTGTTCATAGTCTCTGATAGGCAAGTCTTATTCACTACCTTCATGCAGCAGGACGTTTCTCAAAAAAGTGGTAGGACGAATACAAACGTCTAGAGCATATGACCGGGCTGGTGAACATGCTGGTCTACCTAAGGGAACTGGAAAACCCTGATTTCAGGCTTATGGTGTACACAGACTCCAGAATCCCAACGGATCAAATGGGTTATGAACCTGCCTTCGTCACCAATTGTCATGAGAACGCAGCTCCTGACGCTACCTGAATTCAGTTCAAAGGGTCAGGGCTAAACCCTTAAGACAACCACTTGCCTCAGTCTGGGCGTTCGGGCAGAATCCCAGCTCTAGCACAAAATATAAGAGTTTGTGGGCTGCCTCTCTAGGTGCCCATAATGTATCAAGTTTGTGAATCAGTAGTTAATGATAATAATAATTATTATTATTGTTCCCATGGGTTCCTAGTGGAACATAGGGCTTCAACTGCACGTCTCCACTTCCTTCTGTCTTCTGCTGTACTTTTCACTTGCATCCATGTTAGTTCATACTGTTTCACCTCCTCTTCACACAATCTCCTCCATGTCACCCTTGGACGTCCCACTCGCCGCTTCCCTTTCGGGTTCCACTCGAGGGCCTGACGCGCGATGTCTCCCAGCGGTCTCCTCAGCGAGTGTCCAATCCATCCCCACTTTTTCCTGCATATTTGTTGGGCGATTGGTTCCTGTTTCGTTTGTTCCCATAGCTTCTTGTTTGTGATTCTTTCCGGCCATCTGATCTTCAGTATAGAACGAAGACAGCTGTTGATAAAGGTCTGCAACCTGTTGGAAATATTCTTTGTGACCCGCCAAGTTTCTGATCCGTATAGAAGAAGTGACTGACTTGACGTTTGTATTGAAAATCCGAATTTTGTTGTTGATGCTGAGCAGTGACGAAGATTTCCAGATTGGTTTCAGGTTGATGAATGTGTTTCTCGCCTTCCCGATTCTCGATTTGACATCCTCGTCCGTTCCTCCTGTAGTTGAGACAATGCTCCCTAGATAAGTGAAAGAAGTAACCTCTTTCAAATCCCTCCTGTTGATGGTGATTGGCGCTGGATGTTGCTGCTGTTGTTGTTGTTGTTTGGTTATTTTCATAACCTCCGTCTTGCCTATGTTCACCTGGAGTCCTGTCTTTGCTGCTTCTTCGACCAGTTTGTCGGTTTTCTCTTGTAAGTCTTCGATTTTGTGTGACATCAAACATAAATCATCTGCGAAATCCAAGTCTTCTAGGTTCTTCACGTCGGTCCAGGATATCCCTGTCTTCTCGCTTCTCACTGTCTGACGACGCATAATCCAGTTCACCACAATTAGGAATATCATTGGTGATAATAAGCACCCTTGTCTGACTCCTGTGTTTACTCCAAACGCTTCGCTGAGTTTTCCGTTGTGGATCACTTGACATGTGCCGTTGTCGTACAGCTGTTGAATAAGGTTGATGAATATTTGGGATACGCCGTAGTACTCGAGTAGTTTCCAAATTACTTCGTGGTCAACGCTGTCGAAGGCCTTCTCAAAGTCTATAAAGTTGAGGTAAAATAATAATAATAATAACAGGTCTACATATCTCTCTATTCAGTGTTTTAATGATAATATACTCACTTTTACACCTCAGAGTCTTCGACTATATCTGGTGTTTTCTACACCGTACTGTTGGGTCGTAAAAGCAGCTTATCCACTTCTTTTACTGTTTGTCTAACTTTTCTTGCTCTGCGGTCAAAGTCATCTGCGATTTAATTTTTAATGCTCCAACAATGATTTAGTCAAATGGTATTCGTAATTTGCTTTAAAAATACTCTGTTGATGGAAACCTTGTGGTAATTAATTACACTGTTTTCCAATTGTGTGCAACATGCATTAAGTATAATCACTAACTCATTCATCTGTATGATTTATTTCTCAATAGAGAAGAAGGTAGAACATGGTATAGTCCTCATCGTGGTTGTTTGTGGATAGCGTCAACTGCACGTAACCCTTCTCCAGAAGAAATTTCGGAAATTGAAGATGAATATTTAAAAACAGGTAAATTATCTCCATTTCTTTGCTTTATTTGATTAATACTTGCACTGTAACAAAATATATTCACGTGAAAAACACTAGAGATTTCACTGCATAACTTGGTAGCTGAAGTATCACACATACAGGTAACGAAAACAAAGATAATGAAACTATGACACATACAAATACTCAAACATAAGATTAGTGAAGGTTTTCAGAATGTGGCTGGTGAAAAGGTGTAATTACATCTGCTCAACTTTGAACGATTTCAAGTCACATTCCCAAGTTTCTCTCCAACCAATAATTATCAGAAATCTGAAGAGCCCACCTAAGCAGTGTACATCTCTACATGGCCTGGACTAACAGTCATTGGTTTCGTTGATTGGCGCCTACTGTTGGCATGATGCCTTTTAACTTTTGTAAACTATTCTTATTTTATTGGTTTGAGGATGGTGGCAGCTCTGTGTAGGTAACGCGTATCCTAGATACCAATCAATGAAGCTTCGGAACCTTATCCACTAATCTCCCCTCCTAACCTAACACTAAGTCTGACTTGATCGTTAATTAATTCAAGAGATTGTGTGAACGCACTTGAGGTTAAATATCTCTTTCTTTTGATGGGCATGTCTTACAGATGAAGTGATGCACAGTACACACATCTTTTGGTGAGTAGCCTGATGTCACACCAGTGTTAATAATGACGTTGTGTTGAATATAAAAAAACAAATTTAGAAAGTATCTAAAATCTACTTGTTGGAAATGGAAAATCCAACTGAAAGGAAAGTAATGAATTTACCTCGTTCTTTTTCACAATTTTTTTGTAAAAACAATAATTTTTAAAGGATGTAATAACTCTGTTTATTTGTAAATCTGCATTGAGAATGTTGGCTGAGCTGAAGTGTGTTCATGAAATCGCAAGCATATCGTGTAATCGAATTTATGGAACACCTACAACTTAACTTCTGAGGTGATTTCATGAATTAAAAGATTGAGAAGATAGGTGTTTCTTTTAAAACTTCATGCAGCCCTTCCTTTTCTGTTAAAAAGCTGTCTGAAAGTGGCTGATATCTCCTGCCTCTGGAGAAATTGAGTAACCGGTAGTCTACCCGTTCTTGTGTAGTAAGACTGCCAATTATTTTCCCCTTTCTGATGCTGCTTTTTTTAAACGAACATCCAGTAAGTAGCAGAAGAATTGTATGGAGGTTTTAAAGTAACTTACAACTTAAATTTCAAATATGAATCGTCGCAATAATTCTATACGGAACTCCTTGTCCATTATCCTCAAATTCAAACATGACACTTCAGTAGAAGTTAATTGGTGGATGGTGACTAGCAGTGGAATCCAGGATGCGCATTTTGTCCGGTTTGGGACTTGTCATCTGGAAGTGTCTGCATTCCGCAGTGAATGATGATGTTCCCACCGAGGCTCGAACCCAGTGCCCATAGTTTCAAACACCAAGCGTTATCCACTAGACCACTTGGGCGACGAGAGCAACCTCTTGTGCAACGGGGCATATTAATTATTTAATTCAGTTTTCGAAGCATCTGCACAAAAAGCCAACATGTCAACCAGAGACCGAGCACTTGGGTCCAATCAATCGACGGGAAAATCTAAAACTGAATTAAATGACACTTCACTGTCTATAAAGGTTAATATTACGCCTATGTAAAGATTTTATCACTGGTAAATTCACAAGTTGTTTAATACTCGCACTCCCATCAATTTCATATTCGACAGCATTATTTACACACGAACTCTACATATATATATATATTTGTGTGTAGTTAAGTTTTCTCATATTATTATTGATTAGACCCCTAAAAATATGATTTATCTTCGGTTGTGTGCAGGTGTTGTTGCCAAGTCAGACATGCCGACGTCATATCCAACCAGTTGTCTTCTTGGCCGAGTTAATATTGTCGATGTGATAACGCAAGAAGAGTATCGTGAAAAGGTGAGCTTTTTTTCTCTTCCAAATAGGTGTGGTGTGTCTGTTCCAGGTAATTATATACTAACTGTTGACTTCACATTTTAAAGTATGCACTGAAGATGTTGTCTAGAAAGACAATGAGAGATTATCCGTTAAACCATCCACCCACAACCATACTTAAAAAAATCAATCATCTGAGCTATGAATCCTCTCCATTATTTCAAAGACTATAATCAGTATTTTTGGGAGCATGACTCAATCAGGTGAACAGACAATGCTCCTAGTATACACTGAGATCGAGTCTTGAATAAAGCAGCTATTAATACTGACACAGTGGGTGATTCAGTTTTGCAGTTCTTTAGTTGCTCTTCCTATCGTAAGACAGGGATTGATTTTTTAGGAAGGAGACAATTTTTATGCTTACACACTCTGTTAAGACTCTATTTGGGTATTTTTGTTGGTTAGAATTGATAATCAATAAACACCTACAACTGAATTCGCCTTTTTCTTGTTACTTTTAATAATATCTTTACAAACAACACAGACTTCTCAGAGTAATTTTTTGCAAGACATTATTATTATTGAAACAGTAAGAAAGTACACTATGAACACCAAAATATGCTCCACATAAAATCTCATAATTTGAACGAAAGCTCAGATGCTGACCGAAGCAGGTGGTTGTCGTAAGAGGCCATCCTCGAAGTTCGATCTACCAGGCAGTAGAAAAACGTCAGGAGCTGCGTCCCCATTCGATTTCTGAAACCCATACACAACATGCGCTTAGAATTAAGGTTTTCCAGCTCCCCTAGTTAGACCAGCCTGTCCACCAGTCCGGTCGTAAGCGCCAGACATTCGCTCTTTCACTTCTTTTCAGGAACATCCCAACCGCGTAAAATCAGTGAATACAACTTTTGTGGCCCTTGCAAAGCACCCTACGTATAAAAGCATCACTTTAAAATAGTAGTGGACAGTTTATTGTATGACTCAACGTCTTCCTGTCTCAAACAAGACTGAATCCTCTACGACATTTTCCTTTTTCGAAGTGCACTGCAGTAGGTCAATTAAGAATGTGTGTCAGTGCACACTGTGATACAACGATGTAATTAGAGAATTAAGACAATATGAAACGAGGAAACGTTGATGTATTATGTCGGATAGAAATTATGCTTCAGTGTGTTTGTGTGTATGTGACTTCGGTTAGAATACACAGTGGATTTAGTCACAGTAAGAAAAATTTTATTGCATCACTTATTGAAATAAGTCAGTAATGCTTTGTGTGATGAAGTATAAATTAGCCTGAAGATCCTACATCAAATACAATTTGTGCTTCCAGTTGCCGAGAATTTAAATTTCAGAAACCTTACTTGAAGCTCATTCATTTTTATCCTCACAATATTTAATCAGTGTTGCTCACTCTTGTTATCTTAACCTTTTCGGTACTTTTCATTTCAAGCTGTCTTACACCCTCTCTATTCTAATCGCTCTTTAACTAGGTTAGCTATACAAGCATATGCTTCATAACTAATTCTTTCTTTTTAATTCTTCTAATAGTATCCGAATGGGCCATCTCAGAGTCCCTATGTTTTCATCTGCAATGATCCGCACGAAACTCTCATTAAATTCCCAATTCGTGGGAGGCACAAAATATGTAAGTTTCTTCATATCTCTTAACTTATTCTGTTACAGATAAGCTTGAAAAACACATACACATTGCAGCTAAGAAGAACCTTGCCTAATTTTTTTCTATAATAAACAATATAAGTCTTTCATTACTATGCACGTCTGTTTTCTCTGTCATTTTCTCAAATCATAGCAGGTTACTGAGCTCTTCATCGTCAGCACATCGCTTATTTAAAACTAAGACTCCTATTAAATATAACCATTTAGTATAGGAGCAGATTTAACATAATTCCCTAGTGTATTCATGAAGTAGGAGGATTAATCTAATATTTCCACGGTCAATACTCACCTGACTGACTGTTTTCAACATAGAACTTTGCACCGATGTGCAGCAGTTCTAGTCGCCATACTCCATGTAGCACACAAAGCAAGAGAAGAAAGTAAAAAGGAATGCAAAATACAGACAGTAAACAGAGATATGAGGCAAAAAGAATAGTAATATCGAAGAAAAAAATATAGTTTTATTGGATATTATAAGTCACAAGGAGTGGATGCATCTGCGCCAGCCATTGACAACGATTTTGAGCCAGCCATATCACCAATTGTCTCCAGCCATTGGTTTTTACCGTCCCGAGGACCCCAACCAAGAAGTCTACACCTTCCTACGTGGCTTAAACTAACCGTTGTGGATTTCATTGACTGATGAAGCCATGTTTTGGTTTGACCAACACTGGCTCTTTTCCAGGCTGACCCTATATCAGCTAATATTGCCCGTCGAGGAAGGCGATGGCTAGGCATGCGTAACACATGTCCTAACCATCTCAGTCGATGTAGCTTGACATCCTCATCGATTGATTTCCCCTCCTCACCTAGCGCTCGATGCCTAACCTGAATATTGCTCACCCTATTATACCATTTCACACGGGAGATAGAACGCAGGCCTATATGATCAAAGACAGCTAACCTTTTCATGTCTTCCACTCTCAATACACACCTGCAAATAGTTTACTCGCTTAATAAGTCAGAATGTTGAAAAGTATCTAAGAGCTCACCGGCAAAATTAGGTCAGTAAATCGCTGTGGTTTGTGAAATCCCAAAATGTGTAGTAAATTAAATTCAACAAGAATCACGTAATCGGTTAATGTAAGGAATTATTGAATGTGATGAAAGGTTGATTCAATTTCAAGTCAGGTGATAGGTTTTAAACTATCAAGATGAATGCAAACGTTGTTTCATACGCAAATCAAGAGCTAAGGGGTAATTAATTTACGAGTAATTTCATTGTTCCATGATACGCAGATGTTAGAAGCTTATCGACTTAGAAATCAATATTAAAACTATACACAAAAGTGCAAGTGTCTGAGGTCGCTGAAAATTGTTAGTTTACTTAAATGATACGAAGTGATGAAAGCTGTTCTTACCTGATGGTTAGTTTCTCAGTCCGAAGGAATTTACGTCAACTAGTTTGTTTCCCTTTGCATTAATAAACTATCCCAGTTTGATGCTTTTGCTGTTATCACTCTACGCTTGACGAAAGCGCGGAAAATGAACCCGTTCCTGTGGAGCCAGTTGTCTCATATATGAAAGGGTTTAAGAACATTATTCCACGTGGCTGCAGAAAAGCAACATGGTTCTATAAGGAGGACATTTGAACCCCTTGTCATTCTTTTTCAACAAACTGCTCCTTCAAAGTAATCTACAAGGTGAACAACCTGCCAAAGATTATACAGTTACGTCTCCTCTGCACTGCCGAAGCTCTAGTCATTCGGATAGAGGGACTGGAGTTCTGCATACAAAAGACCAACCAACTACTTCTACTATCATGGAAAAAACCTTGTTCTTTTCTGCCAATTCGATTTTGTTTGCTTTTTAACTCATGTATTTTTTCATAACCTTTAAGTAATGTATTTCCCTTCATTTCGATGTACATCCTATCTACAACTGATTAATATTCCTACGTATATCTAACACACCTATTCAGCTCCTCTTATTGTATTGAATAATATTATTAATTGTGATTATGACAGCTCATTACTTTTGTTACTGCCCTCTTTAATGAAAACAAAATGTACATAAATGCGATGGTACAGCAAAGGAATATAAATTCGTCTTCGACAGAATACTTCTTTTTCTTATTAAATGAACCTCTCCTAGATAATGATAATAGTCAAAGAGTATATAGAATGCATTTGAAGGAGGACAACTGGTGAAAACATATAGCGTCAAAATTGAGTTTTTGCATCATCTTCAAACATTTACCTAGGTGTAGCTACTTAAGACGCTGAGGGTATTGACATTCACGGATTATACGATGTTTACTAAAGCAAGATATTATCCCTACAACTCCTATGGTATTAGTTCCACGTAGGCAAAAGACAAAACACCAGAATTGATCGTCCGAAATACGAAGTATATTTCGGAACCAAATTCGTTGTGCAAGGATGATTGCCTAACTAGTTGGGAATCATGTACGAACGAACGTAACACGACGGCGTGGATGCTTGACCGAGAGCCTTCAGCTAAACAAGTTGACATAAACAGTGAGGGGCAGCATCTAATATTCAGTGATGAATGCTGTGACTATTTATTCTGGGGAATTTTACCTAGCGCTGCACTACTAAACATTTAGCACTGTATAACTGCGACATTCCCATTCAGATCAGAAATATATAAATATGAGTCAGTTCTTTAGTGAATGCCTTATATTTGTATAGGAAATAAATCAGCTACCATTGTATCTTATATATTTACAAGGATAAGTAATAAATTATGAAGAGATGTTCGTTTCGCGTTTACGTTCAAAGGATGTGTTGTTTCTTTTATTGCCCAGTGTTTTTCTTGCCCGCGGACATTTATTTCGACGACGTTCAATTTCATGGATTAGATATCCTTCTGGCTATAAAGGAAAAAATCGAAATGGCTTTATAGTATAACAGACTGAATGGTGTGACGAAGCACTTAAATATCTAATGACTGGAAAGGGAGAATGCAAAATTGTGTCCAAACACTAATGTAATAATATTATTAACAAAGCTTTGGACTGACATGCGATCATTAAGATTCCGCCGAAAACACGTGACCTGTCTCAGTGACTAGAATCATAATTAATACAAACTCTACTTGTTGGTTTACTGTGAGTAACAAGTTTAAGCCGTTATTTCAATTCAAAAATAAATTCAGTCAAGAATGAAGGGTTCGCCTACTGCTTCAATGACAGTTCTCCTTTAGAGAGAGAAAGCCCTAACACTGTGTTGTAAAGTGTTCAATAAACACTAACTCTGCAGACTGTATTACCACGAGTTATATCGAAATCGAGTTTGAGAGTAGTAATGTGACACTAAGTACACCATGCTACCACAATACTGAATACGTATATTGGAATCACGTGTTTGCGTCACAGATTTTGACTGCTTTTAAGTAATACAGCTGTCCATCCAGGAGACCGTAGTTAGCTAAGCAAGATCAAATAACTCATTAGATCTCATTACACCCGTCCTCAACTACTTCGAAGCAAATACCATAGCGTATCCAAGCGGAAGAAGGTAGGAGATACAGTTCATAGGCAACAAGCACTTGACTTTCAAACGGTTGGTTCTCGGCTAAGGTCCCACTCTGTCTACTTGTCTGGGTAACTAGGTAGTATCATCAAACCTTAGAAAAAAGTGCCGCTCATAGCCTCGTACATGAAAAATGCAATCCAGCCAATTGAACTGTAGCACTTAAAAATCGACCTATTCGGTGGTGTGAAATTTCCAATTTTAAGTATGATTAAAGATACAATCAGTGTAAAAAAATAACTGACAAGTGCACCAATTTAATGTGTCACGCCTCCAAGATGTAACAGGCAGAAGAAGCAATGAACCTTGTGAAGTCAGAGGTGAATGACAGTGAAAAGAATAATCAAATAAGTGTCCCGAATCCCGATGATGTTCTGTTCAGTTTTAGATTTTCGGTAACTGTGCTAATTAAACTAATCAATGAAGAGTCCTGTTGTGCGGCACAGTCATTCGGACTGAAGATCCACCTATTTTGGCCTCTGACAGAAGAAGCACTATTCTTAGGATTGGCCTTTCTAATAAGTCTAGATAACTGCTTCCAGTCACTCGAAATCCGTCTAGTCACTCTTCAACACCACTAGAAGCCAGCAGAAACAGACAGAGACCATGAAGATATCCAACCAATAAGAAATAATCATCACCAACAATAGGAAAAAATCCAAAGGAAGTCGTCTCTTTCGCTTACATGGGCAGCATTGATCGTTCCAACTGCCGGCAGTATGGGTGAGTATTTCAAAGTCAGAATCGGATGAAGGAAGCAAAACAGAAATCCACCATTCTGAGACCACTTTGAAGATCTACAACACCCAGCACTAGGAATAAAATCCGCAGTTCGAAAATTAAAGTTAGGTCAATGTTTCTATATCACTGACTGACTGGTCTTGACATAGGATTTTGCACACAAGTGCAACAGTTTGAGTTGCCACACTCCATGAAGTGAACAAAGGAAGACAAAAGAGAAAAAAGATATTCGGAAGAACAATAATAAGCAGAAATGTGAGGAAGAAAGATAATAACATAGAAAAGCAAAGAAGTTTCTTAGGGTATGGCAGACCACAGAGATTGAATGCATCTGCTCCACTGAGAACGATTTCGAGCCATATCACCAACTGTCTCCAGTCATTGGCTTTTAGCATCCCGAGGACCCAAACCAGGTAGTCCACACCTTCCTATGTAACTCAAACCAACTTTCAAAGATGTAGTTCAGTCCTGTATCATCTTACACTTGACAGGAGCAAATCACATGAAAAACATTCGAAGATTTCTGCTAAAGATCTTCAGAAGACTGCATTTCACCAGCGTCTTCATTAAGGAGGGTTATATCATCCACATGTTTTAAGTCAACGAGACAATCGCCTGGTAACAATTCAATCCCTAAGTGGCTGAAATCAGTTAGGGGTGATTCCATTAGTACATCTATGCTGAAAGTAAACAGAAAAGGAGACAGTGGGCATTCCTGACGGATACCACTGGATATCACTTCGGATGACAACTCTCCATAAGCTCTTACAGTGTTTCGTGAGCTCGAGTAGAGTGCCTTGTTCAGTGCGATGTACTTTCTCAGCATTCCCTTCATGGCTGAACACTATCATAGCACCTCTTGATCGACAAAGTCGAATGCCACCTTCGGGTTGGACGCCGGTAAGTATGCCCATGTTCTAGAATCTATCGAGGGGTGAATATATGATCAATACACCCCCTACCT